CTACCAGCCACTCCTTGGAGGAAGGTTGGGCAATCTACTTCCATAGTGATACCACCTTGGAAGCCCAAGGAGGGGTTGCTATGAGTCAGATCCAACTCATTGGCAGTGTGAATGCCTAATGATGTTGAGTATCTTTTCATGTACTTATTGGCCATTTGTTTATCTTTTTTTGAAAAAATGTCTGAAGTCTTTTGCCCATATTTTAATTGATTGTCATTTTGTTGTTCAGTTGTAGAACTTACTCATATAATTTGGATACAAACCCTGATCAGATACATAATTTCCAAATATTTTCTTCTAGTCTATATAACCTACAAATTATGATATTTGATATTCTATGTAACAGTGATTTCTTTGAGAATAATCCAAAGGCATCATAGTTTAATTTTTCACATGTATGATTTTTTAAATATTATTTATTTTGTAGTAGTTGAGAATATACACAGCAAAACATAAACCAATTCAACAGTTTCTACATGTACTGCTTAGTGATATTGATTATATTGAGTTTTTAACCATTTTCTCCCTCTTTTTTGAGTTGTTCTCACCCATTAATATAAGCTCACTGATCCCTAAGGGCAACCTCCATTGGATTTCTGAGGCTGTAAATCTTCATGGAAGTAGATAAGCCCATCTACATAGTTCTTAAAAGAGCATATGCTCAAGACAGACATGCTTTACTTGTTAAGCTAAACTATTGTTTGGTTTTAAGAAGAATTCAGGGATACTTTTGAGTTCAAGATTAACTTAAAAGAGTTCATCTAACATTATGTCTCCAGGAAGTTTGGGTACCATGAAATTTAGAAATTTTGTTCTTCATTTCACCCCTTTTGATCAGAATTCTTCTATGGTATCTTTGACCAAAATGTTCAGTAATAGTAGCCAGGCACCTTCCATTTCTTCTGGTCTTTTGGGAAAGGAGGCAGTCTTTCATGGAGGCAATTAGCCATACATTCCACATCCTCCTCCTTTTCCTGTCTCCTTCATCTTATGTTGTTCCAGGTGAATAGAGACCAGTTGTTGTGTCTTGGGTGGCTTCTGGCAAACTTTTAAGAACCCAGACACTATGCAATGAACTAGGAAGTAGAACACTGAACACAGATTATTAGTTTATTAGGCTGGTTAACTGGGATGCCTCATGAAACCATGACCATAAACCTCCAAACCAAGAAACCAAATCCTGTGAGGTTTTTGGTTATACATAACCAGCCTTAACAGCTGCTCTCTTTTTTTGTCATTGTGGTAAATATATCTACCATACAGCTTTTGCCAATTCAACTTTTTACAAGCCAAAAAATCTTGACTTTTACAATAGTGGACTAATAACTTCTTCCACAAGTTTAATAATATAAAATATTTTTAACCAGGATCGGACAATGGTTAAAATGTGGCATCTGCAATCATGGCACACATGTATATGCCACCACCTATTAGCTGTTGACCTCTCTAATGTCATCATCTATGGGAGCTCTTGTGGCATAGTGCCTAAGGCATTTGACTGCTTACCAGAAAGCATTTAGGTTGTTTCCACCTTTTGGTTATTGTGA